CCAGCCTCATTCCTCGCCAGATCTCCACTGGCATTCTGTGCGTGGAAGTGCTGAAGCACTTGTGCGCCAGTCAGGAGGAGCAGCGCTGGAGGATGAAGATGCGCTAGGAAGGAGGAGGAAGACTGTACGCTGGAAGGGATGCAGCCATAGCTGCCCAGCCAGTTAGTATAGACTTAGAGGGTTAGTAGTAGATAGCTATGAGTAGTATTCAGAGTAGATCCTTGTGAGTGAAGAGTGTGTATGCATCGTAGGAGAAAGAGACTGAGACAGAGAGTGTGCAATCAAGGTTTGGCTATGAAGGATACTTACCTGAGTTGGATTTGAACTGTGGAGGTGGCGCTGATGAGTGGTGACCACATTGATGACCAGGGTACAACCTGCAGAAGTAGCGCTGATGTATTGAAGACACATTGATCAGTTAATGCAGGATCTGCATTGTGTTGATGAGCGCTGAACTTGGGGAACTATGAAACTCTTTGTGATCATATTTTTGATAACATAAGTTGTGCAACTCGGTCCTCTTCTCATCTATCTTTGTCTAATGTGTGAGACTCTTGATCATTGTGTGCAAGGATGATGCGTGACATGTACACACTTGCGTGAGATGGTCTTCAGGACCCATGCAGGATAGGTTCAACCCATAGAACCCTTAATGTAGCTGGCTTGCGGTCCCTAGATGAAGAGTGTATTATTCCAGCCACGGTAGGTAGGTAGTGGGAGGCATATTGAGAGAAGAATATAGGTTAGTAAAAAAAAAAAAAAGGTAAATCACTGCTCATCATCTCAGCTCAAATGGCTGAATGGTACACAGTATTACACCCACATGTGAGTGGGTGTAAAACACGGCATGAGTTCAAACTTCAAATCCCTCAGATTTTGTCAGGTGTGTTTCCTGCCAACACGCAAAGAGGACAATTGGTAGAAGGAAGCGTACTGCGCAGCAGCAAGCAGACCACAGGACCAGTCATCCTTCAGAACGAGCAGCCTCTGAAAAGAAGATCACAATCGAAGGCTCGGAGGTGGACAGAGAGAAAGGAAGATGGACCAATGTGGACTTTCTGTTTTGAGAAGAGAAGTACAGTCTAATTTCAATCTACTGCCCTAACACGCTACACCAAAGAGCACAATTGGTAGAAGGGTTAGCAGCCCACTATGAAGAGGACAGGCACATAATAGTAGCCAGGACCCGGCCAAGGACCGCATGGCGGGAGGCACAAGAGGATGGGAGGGAACAGTTTTGGAGGCAGCATTGCCTATCCACAATGTAATGACAGAAAGGGAACTAGTTGGCCCATTCAGACTCTACTACTATCTGCAGGTGAAACGGTTCACCAGCTGCAAGAGGAACAGGAGCCAGCACGTGTCTGCATCTCGAATAGTATTATTTTTCTTAATAACGCAAGGTCTAATAAGAACACTACATTCAGTAGGGATAGGGGACCTACCTTATGCAAGTGGATTGTATCATAAGATTCATAACCCTATCTATTTATAATTCTATATTTATTATTTAACCAACAGACAAACAAATAAGGAGAGGTAGAAGTTTTTATGAAATGAGTAGCTCCATTATACACACTCCGGACACAAGGCAGGCAGTTCTTGAGACTTGTCTAGCTCATGATCCGGAGCAACAAGCATTCCCGGACCTACTAGCAGCCTTGTCACAGGTCTCAAAGAGAGTGGCCAGGAAGTTGGCGAGCAAGAGGAAAGCAAGGGAATGAGAGTTACAACAGGCACTGAGAGCAGCGGGACAAAATCTGATTAGGAATCCGGGATTAGAGCTTTACGAAAGGAGTATTAGACAAAACAAGGGCGGAACTTGGGGAGTGGGAGAAGTGGAGTAGAGGTTTACAAATGAGGGCAAGTATAAAAGAAACGGGAGGAAGGGGAAACGATGACCAAGTTCTTCCTCCAGAAAATCAGGGCGAATGGGAGGAACTCGACTATAGAGCAGCTAGAAGGGAAAAACAGGCCGATGACAAATGCACAGGAAATGGTCAGAGTAGCTCAAGCCTTATACAGCAAACTCTACACATCCAGAGACGGGCACCATCCGAAGAAACAGACAGAGCAAGCAAAGAACAAAGTTGTTGTCATACCAAGTAAACTGGAATTTCCTCCGGCAGTGCATGGGGAAAATGGGTGTAGGTCCGAACTTCAGAAAATGGTTGAGGGTATTATACAATGATGCGCACGGCCAAGTACAAGTCA